AAAACGAGGTCATTTTCAAACTTCTCTGAATCACACTGACTTTCATACCGTTAGGGACGTTTCCGCTTTTAATTTGAAGGTTGTGGTGTATGGCTCATGAACAATAGTTATGTGAGTTTTCGGAAATATCTTTATTTTGTAATTTGTTCACACAATTACTTTCACTGGGCATGATTGGTGATCTCTAATCGTAAAACTGACAAGAGCTTCATTATTTAATTAAAATATAGGACTAGCAAGGTGGGATGCTTCGTATCATTCATAACTTTTTAATGAAAATTTGATTGACCTCCTTCTTTTGGAGGGTGACCATGTCCACGCCACTTAATGATGCCCCTGAGTTGTGTCCAGTGGAACACTGTTAATTAAGAGCTACGGACAAAACGAAAGCGATGTGGTGTTTCCCTGAAGCTACATAGATAAAATAATCAAATAATTTTGAAATTAAAACGTGGACCTCAGCAGAGGCAAAAGGTATCAAAAGGATGTCAAAGATGTCGTTTGTAATAAAAATGAGAATGATTTTGCTTGATCCCAAATCTTAGCAAAAGCCTTTCAGCTTGTCCAGCTTGTTAATGCATTATTTTGAAGTGTAACTAAAATTATTACGTATACAACATACGTGATGACTGACGGAAATCTAAATGGGTCGCCTTGGGCATGCCGTGGCGTAGCGTCTGCTAAGCTATATAGGGGACGGGTAATATTCTTGAAGGAAGAAATGCGAGGGAATTGAGTGACTGAGTGGAAGAGAGTCGAGGGGGGGGGGGGGGTGGAGGGCGGTCATTTTGCATTTGGAGCTCTTCAAACCATATTTATGCTCTTTATTCTGACCTCATATTCACCCCTTTTCTTCAAACGTCAAGATATGTTTCATATGCCATTACTTTCCGAAACCCAATATTCAGCTAATCCACCGAGAAACACTTTATGAAAACATAGACGTGCAAGATCTTCATATTTTAAAAATATGTCAGATGATAAATGCTTTTGACACAGTCTGCAATATTAATACTCTCTTCTTTCATCAACAATTCCGCTAAGAGTTTCTAAACCCGTCTAAATGGACTCGACCTTTGACCTTCATATTTCTTTTCCCGTTCAACTTCACCCCAAAAAGATACTCTTGGTATGCGGACTAGGCGGACCAAAAATTGGAAATATTTTTGAGAGACTGAGGAAGCACGTTACCCATGACATACTTTGTCCGACCTGCCATCATTGATCTGCTTTGGAAAGCGATGGCAAAACGTGATTTATGTCAATTTCTCTTTGAAGAATTTGGCGCCTTGTCATATTGTATATAGGAGTATGCATGGTTCGAGGCTACCTAAGAAAAGTGGAAACTCCCCCACTCCGATGATATTTCTTCTCTAAGACCAATACTTTGCATTTGTTTTGCTATTTTATTTCAATATACTACATTTTTGTGAAACGCATGTTCCAAAATCGTTATACAATCTTTCAAGTCAACATTAAAAACATTTTATTTGACTGGTATGTGTTTTTACCTCTCATTATATATTGGATATAATTACATGTATACTTTGTTTCCTCCGTTTATATTTTACTTTTATTGAATAAAAAAATTGTATTAACAACAATACAGAGGAACAATTCAAAAGAAAATCAAACATGTCAAACAAGCTGCACTCTTGTGACTCTCTCCCCCGAACAAATTACTTTACCTTTACATACGACCACCAATGATATATTAGAGTCAGGGAGGGAGTATTAAAAAAAAATGAAAAAGTAAAATTCAATTTTTCATTTTCATCACCTTCCCTTGATGCTAGGAGCTGGACCGATTGTCAAAAGAAACTCCGTCCCGAGGGAGACCAAAAATGGGGTTGGAGGGGTGTCTTTCTTTTATTCGAGGTCAAGTGAGGTCGATTTGAACTTGAGTGAGCGATAAAGAACAAAGCCTAGGTCGAGGGCGATGTGCGCGTTTTCTGGGGTCGCCGAGTACTAACTAAGTACGTGGGCCGAAATGAAAAACACTCGCGTTTCTGCGCCGACGTACTATTGCAAACAATAAAAAAAAAGAGGATTTTTCCCTCCCAAAAGGTTAGGGAAGGTTTAAGTTTTGATTGTACGGGGGTATTTATCGAGGGATTTACAGCTTGTTGAGGCTACATGGCCCGTGAGAGCATCTTTATGAAGAGCCATTTCCGATCCGTCAGAGAAACAAAATGCCATCTTATTGATTCGTTTTGAAAGAAAACATCCAGAATGGGTTCAGAATGAAAGCATGACCGGATTTTTGTAACAATATTGTCGGCCGTCGAAACAACGGACACGTACTTCCACGGGTTCAAAAATTCAATCCTGTTACGCGAAGAAAGTAATCAGATGTTTGGTTTGTTAACCACAAGTAGTACACGTAGGAAGCGGATAAGCCATATACGAAAAGAAACAACATCATTAATCCATAAATAAAATCATACTTCAGTCAACCATCTTTCTTTATTTGTGAATTGATGTGATGCTTAAGGCCTACATAAATCTTTTCACTTGTCTACAGCACCATAACAAAAATGCAACAACACTGGAATATAAACTGTCCTTGGGTTGTATATTCCCCCTTCTGTGACCTTTTTAGGTGCTATACTATGGACCTACACAAATCTTTTACTTGTGTACAGCGATATACAAAAAGCAAAATAAAAACAATACTTTGGTTTTAAAGTTCCCCTTTATTTGTGAACTGTGATACTATACACAAATCCCTTTACTTTGTAGTACAGCAATTTACGAAAAGCAACATCCTTATTAATCGAGAAATAATTAAAGTACTTCGGTTTAATATTTACCCTTTATTTGTGAAGTGTGATGCTATACACAAATAGTTTTACTTGTTATACAGCAATATTTAAAAAGCAAATAACAGTTTCACATTTCATCTTTATGACCTGTCCGAATATTTATATACAAACCTTTGCCTTGTCCATCTAAAATTTATATTTTCAAGTCTGTTTCTGACTCAAAAATATATGTTTATCCTGTCCATCATGTCCGATTTAATAGTTTTGCTCATGGAAGATTGGGACAAGCAAACTTTCTAAAAACGCACCAAATTCCATCAGACTACCGGATTGGGTTTTGAACCAAAGGAACGCCGTTTTTATTTATTTGTTTCTTATCCCTGTAAAATCTGACGTAAATTCCGTCTGGCCTCCCCCGGGGACGACAGCGTGGGGTAGGGCTTTTAATTTTTTTCCTTCTATTTTTTACCTTTTTCTGGACGACAGCACGATCTATCTCATTGTCGTTAAGGTTTCTGTAGTCGACATCGGCACTAAACGCTCTCCTTGATCCTGTTAATCAAGTCAAGATATAAATAAAAAAACAGTAAGTGATGTTGTCGAAGCACGGACATCTTGTTCAAAGGAAGAAAAGGCATTTCACTTCTTTGGGGGTGTTGATCTCTGAGTGAGATTCTCGGAACCATGGATTTTGTGTTCCTGTTGTTTTTGTTCATTATGTATCTTTGAGTCGATGAAATTATTTATAAATAGAACGATGGTTGGAGAGAGAAAAGGAGAAAGAGAAAGATAAATAAAGAGAGAGAGAGAGAGGCGGACGGACCTGCGCCCCTTGACTGACTTATTATTTTTAATAGCACTGCATGCAGACATCAACCCCTCCTTTTTTTGATTAGCCAGAAGGACAGGGGCATTTCCCCATTTCACGGCTAATTTTATATAAAGACAGCATTTTCCATGCACATTCATAAATAAAATATGTATGCCTTCATCCACTATACTTTTTGTTATAGTCGTCTGAACATTCACTTGGGTTGCCCCCCCCCCCCTCCCGACGAAGCTGTTTGTTAATACCCTGAGCGGCACTCTGTTTATTTTAGTAGCCCCCATTCCAAATCTGCCCTTTACCCTTCCTTCCCAAATATCCAAATAAATATGACAATACGGAACCACAAGGAACTCTGATCTGTCCAGTACCCCTCTCTTCCCCCACCACCACCACCACACCTTTACCCCCACTACCACAAACCTGCCATAAATAGTTCATCTCCACACCCATCATCTTCCTCCATCATCAAACTTCCAGCAAAATTCCATGGCAATGTGGGAATGATCACGTTCTCTGTCATCTAAACCGTGTTTATAACTCGGGTCCCCAGATAGTTTTCGGCTACAGTTGCTGGAAGGGTAGAGAAAGAAAGGAAGGAAGGGAATCTGCCCCCTTGCGATACGACCCAAGTTGAGACCAGTCTTACAAACAGAACCAAAAGGGCTGTGATAACTCCTTGCTGGAACCAGTCCTGTATTGATGCAGCTTAAGAAAGATCTTGGTATTTTCACGGAGGACGATATGCCAGCTACCTCATGAAAGCTGGAGAACAGAGATGCCACACTGCTTTGTGAACTCCTTTTCCTGATCTTCTTTGGACAAAGTGCACTGTTTCTTGTTAAGTTCTAGACGCCTTTTCGCGGTCACTGTGAGACCAGTGTCTTTAACCAAACAAGGAACAAGAGAGGCATATTAGGTGCGGCCCCAGAAAGATCTTGGCATTTTTTAAAGGAGAATACAACTGTCTGTTCTGTTTGCTTTGCCGAGCCCGTCTTCCTGATCTAGTGTGGACACTTCTTCATCTTTTAAGGTTATTTGAAATTGAAAGTTGAAATACAGTTGAAGCTGTAACTGATTTTTATTGAACGAGTTTTGCATTCTTACACAATACTGTAAATGTAAACTCAATGTTAATCCTCATTCCATATTTACCATCGTCAGTGTCGTGGATATATATAGCTGACCAAGTGGAAGGGCCAGCACTAATTAATCAATGGTGAGTGGATACCAACCACCTCGTAGATTATCATATTATGAGCTGAACCTGCCGAATGTATTGTCAATCATTATTGAGAAGAAATCCAGTATTGTGTAATGATATTGTGTAATAATTATCTAGTACGAATGAAATTATCAATAAATTGCCGATTATTTATGTTTTCTTTCTTTCTTATTTATCTCCCTAGGTCTGAAGCTTCTGGATATTCTCACAAACTTAAGGTAAGCAGATGAATTCATTGAATTATTAAATCTAATAAGAACAATCTGGTTATTATATCATACAAGGGGACAAGTGACCGACAATATACCTTGGAAATTTCTTTGTATGTATCATATATACTTTTGAATGGAATTTGGTTAGTGAAATGCTGTTCACACTCAGATCAAAATCGATCCTAGAATACGGTCATAAATCGCGCCCTTTTTTGAGTGGGGTGGGGGGGGGGGTTGTCCTTGGAAACTTCCTAGGTTACCTGGTTATGCTCCTTCCAGATTTTCTATCACTTCCTCTTGCATGTCTTTTTAGTATAAGTGCAGCTTCAGGTTTGCTCACTCATTACGAGCTAGAGTATAATCATATCGAACATTATACTGTATATGGTAATTGTGCACATTCCTGAATTATGGTCAAGAAATATTGTTATACTTTTAGACCTGTTATTAGATAAAACATGAACTTGCCCGTGAGCAGGTGGTCCGACCATTATATTGACCATGATTTGATTTGAGACCTGGAAACAGGAATGACCGGCCATGATTGACGGATGGCCTTGCTGTATGAGGTGACCATTACAATAGGTTGGTCTGTGTCTTGAAATGAGTCCGTTCTGCAAATGGCGTCGTTTCAGTTACAACTGATATCCCACCCAGTGGCGGATCTAAGATTACCTGACGAGGGAGGGGGTCTCATAATATCTGACCAAGCAAAGATATGATTAACTATGAATAAGGTTCTCAGATTTGCCTTCCGGGTAGGAAACACATGAAACAGCCGGGGGGGGGGGGGGGGAGGGGAAGGTCAGAGAATGTTTGTAGTTGTACTTGTGTATGCATTAACAAATGGCAGATTCTGGTTTTGTTAGATGGGAGGGGATGTACCTCCTGGGCCCTATGCTTTAGTCATTATATGTTTAGTATGGATAGAGTTATAACATCTTTTAAGGTGATTTTGAACGTCATTAACTACGTTTGACCAGACCTTGCTCAGTCATCAACGATTGCACAATTTGTATCCCACTGTATTTCAGTCTGCTTGAGTATCATTCATATCACTTTTGATAGTGTGTATCGTAATCAAGCCTTTGTGTCAGGGTGTGCTGGGGGAAGTTTTTTTAACAAGCCTGTTTGATCAGATAGGAGAATTAATTACTCGCACACTTTGCTATTTTCGGGTTAAAGGTACACGAATGAATACACGTTTAGATCACAATCGTGCGAACACTACCATGTGTCCATGTCACACGTACCGTTGTATCTCACTTAATGTGTGAACGGATCTGAACTTCTTTTTTATGGAAAAGGTTAGGAAATGGCGTCTAAAAAGTACAAGCGCTGTCAAAAGCAAAGGTCATTGTCAATTTTCATTGTCAAGATATCCTATTTTCCCGCATATTCATCTCTCTAAACAATAGCTCATTTGGAGTTACCCGAATCATGACCCGTATTTCACAACGATGTTATGATGATGAGAACCGATTCAATATTGAAACAGAGATATGCATCCCTGATTGAAACATGAGGGTTTGCCCAGGGTCAATCAACATTCAGATTGATGGAAGTAGGGACTTGGCAGAGGAAGATTATGAACTCTGAACGCATACTTTAATACGAACGAGAATTGCATTGTGCGAATCTATGTTCAAGTAATAACAACATGATTTCATTCACGAGATTTGGGGAATTGTCATTGATTGCATTGTGGAAGAAACTAATGAGACACATTAAGAAATTATTCCGAATGGTTAGTTATGCTGTAGCCTAATTAGAAGCAAGTTTGTACTCGATGTTTTGAAATCGTCAAAGTATATCTTTCTCAAAATCAGACACAGTGGAAGAAGTGGGCATGATCGTCGACTAATCTGAGAGCAAGAAGAGCGCTAAGTCTTATGCTTTATATACTTGATAACAGAGTAAAGGCCCTTGTGACACTGATAATGGGTACATGGGACTAAACAAACAAGTGGTACCAGAAATTCTGTCCCAAAAGTTGTAAACTACTTCGAGTCGTATTTGAGATCCAAGGGCAACGTCATAAGCATGTATAGGGCAGTCCTTTTCATATGACATTGCTACAGACATTACTTTGAAATTTGCCACATGTGATTCTAAAAATACTGAAAAAGCTCACGAATAATTTTCACTTTCACCAAAACACAATCTTCTCTTAAACTGAAGTTGTCTCGATCGACTTTTCAGCCATGATAAAGTAGATCGTTAATCATCTCCAGTTTCGTTCACAAAAACGATTTTGTCATTTACAATATTTATGCTATAGTATCAGGTGCCTATTAAAGACATAAGATGTACTGAATATAGTTACAGTTAACTTTGTAGACCACTTTAAATGAGGGAATGATTGGTGAAAAATCCTTAGAATTTAGAAATTGCCGAAATGTGGCTTGTGAATAACAACAGGACGTTTTTTTTAATATCTTTTTACACAGCACATCCGATGAATATTTAGGAATCTCGACCATGTCTATACGATAACTTTTCTTTCGAATATGGCATTAATTGTCTTTCTCTCTCTCACTCTCTCTCTCTGACTCTCTCTCTCTCTCTCCATATTTTATTTTCTCTCTCTCTCTCTCTTTTACTTTCTCTCTTTCCCCTCTTTCCTTCTCTCTCTTTTTATCTCACACTCTCTTTCTCAGTAGTCCTTCTCTTTTCTGCCCCATTTTCTCTCAGCCATCTAGTTGTCCCTGTCTCCGCATCAATATAACCTTATCCCTCGTACCCCTTCCCTTTCTGCCATTCATCTACGACTGTAAATGCTTTGTTTATTGACGGTCGGCTGTAAAATTGTTATTATTCACTCGGAATATATGACATTGATTGCGATTTGATAGGGGAGAAAAATCACCAAAATTGGCAAAGTAGCAGGGTCGGCCGTGTCCCTACGAGAAAATGCGGTTAAACAATTTATCATAGCAACGTGAAGGTCATCGCAAGGTAAGGTCAATACATATTTCTCCCCCTCTCTTTTTTTTGATCTGTAATAAGATTTGCGAATCGCGTTTCCTTGTAAATCTTTCCTCTGCAAACAGTTTCCATTATACACCAGAGCCCCTGTCATTCATAAAGAGTTTGCCTTGGAAATTAAGCTGTGCGATGTTGGAATATGAAATGGTTGGCACTAATAATACGTGCTCCGTTTTCATAATGCTCGCCATAAAATATGAGGACGTGTGCATGGAAAAATTTCATAAAATTGCTTGATGTTGGTTGAATGATACTCCCTTTTTAGGTAATTGAAGTCAGAGAAATGACATTTCAAGACCTTTTGAAGAAAGAAAAAAGGATTGTCATCTGCTATCCTACCCAACCCTTCCCCATACTACATGTGTTATCTCTTCATCAGTCTTCTTACGAGACATGCTCCGACGACTACTGCTCCACATTCAAAATAACCGATTTTCTTACCTTCATCCCTGGATTAAACACTATACCTAATCCTCATCCAAATCACAATCCTAACCTTAAAGATAATCATAACCTAAACCCAATTGCAAGTCTGTATCCCTAACCACAACCTTGTATTAATGAAATATAACTTTGAGCAATTGTTGCCGGAGCAAATATTGGAGCAACCTTCATTTATCCTCAAAGAACGAAGGACAAAATAACGATCTACTTAAATTGTGTTATTTTCTAGTATTCCTCAGTCGAGCTCGCTAATGGCAACCAGTTATTATGATCCTATAAGAAGGATAAAGATATATACATGTATATAATCGTTTTTATTTTCTTTACCTTACCTTTAATGGCGCTCGTTAAAATCCAACCGTGAGATGCAGTTGCCATGACATCGGGTTAATGAACCACTCAGCGCAGGCGCAGGTCCTCAACAAGTGGACAAAAACAAGTGCATATAATTATTACCAGTAATATTTGAGAAGGGCAATTTCATAATGTCAGTGAACACGGTGACTAATATCATAGGCTCATGTCTCCTTCCACGTTGGAACGTCCGGTTTGGATAGTCGCCGAATGATGCAAATATTATTGACAATCTGTTATTCGATATAAATGACTTGGAATATATGTTAAAACTTTGTTACAGTGACCGTCTTAGCTTGAGCTGCTGGCCACTCTTTTTAATACAAAACGAATAATAACAAAATTAATGAATAATAAAATGAAATGTTTGATGGGAAAGGGGGAAGGTGTAATATTTGGATAAATGTAAAATTTAGTGTACTAACATATGAATTCTTGCCAAAATTTGGAATAGTTATTAATATCTCTGGTAATGTGTTTTAAAAGACAGTGATTGAGACCAGTTCTGTAGTATGAAGTATTTTTTCTGGTGGGGGGGGGGGGGGGGGGCGATGCCCAAAAATTTAGCCCTAAAATTCCCTTTGATTTTACTCACCAATTTCTGTTTTTCTTTCCATCTCACTCTCTCTCTCTTCCCTCGCGCGCTCTCTCTCTCCTCTCCTTTCTCTCTTTCTCTTCATATTTCTCTCTTCCTCTCTCTGTCCATTCCCCCTTTCTATCAAATTATGATAGCAAAAATTTCTTGCCATGCCATCATATTCATCAAAACCTTTGGGTTTGACATTCTTCTAAGCTTATCTATTTTTGCACCGATAGTATTGTAATCCGAATATAGTTTTAGTCATACATTATATCACAATATGCTTCCCTTATTCGTGTCATTTATTTATCCGTCCTTCTCACTCTTTTTGACATAGTTTAAATTTTTTAGTGTTTTTTTTCGACAAAATGAAATAAAAAATGAAATTCTATTTTCTGCTGCACACTTGAAGAAATTGGGCAAATATACGGTTTGGGCGTAGAGCATATTGATATGGCAAATACAAATATGCATTTTTTAGAAAAAATATTGGGAATTTGTTGGCGTCTATGAACTAAAAATACCGTTAAAATATGTAATCCTATTTGAACGAACCTTTTCTCTTAATCAAACATGCTATTGTTGTGATGATGAGTCATCAGAATGATGTTCATAGTCCATTGACGATATATTAAAATAAACAATGGATTTTCATATACCTGGGAATTTCTTAGTGTGTCCTTCACCCCCATGTTAATCCTCTCTGGTTCTCTTGGGGATTCACGAGTTTTTAATTAAACTGTTATTCAATTTATTTCTAAATAAAATGAATTAATGAATGACATCGTGTGTCATTTTCATCATGGGTTCGTCAAGAAATGCTTGTTTTTAATATTGTTTAAAAATCGGAATGACTTCGTAAAGACAATTAGCATTCACTAATACTATATGTCTCTGTTCTGAAAACACGTCTGGGCAGAATGATGATAAAAATGATAATAACAAAATGCGCTTTGTTATTTTTGGTCATGTTTGAAAGCCCAAGTTCATCTGTAGGTTAATGACGATTTTTCTCACGGCACTGACTTAACTATATATCTGACCATGTAACTCAAAACATATTTGTACTGAAAGTTACGCATTATGATGTATGCAAAAAATAATGAATTACTGTTGTTTAGTGTTTTGATTTCGCCGAAAAGACAGCAAAAAATGGGATAAAAATCTTGACTCGCTATATCATGATGTCTGTACTAGAATATTTTTTTTTTGCAAACGATTTTGTTCTACTTGGAAATGATTTACTATGTGGTGTGGTGTGAAATTGAGGGGGTGGAGGGGGAGGAGGCGCTTATACATTATATATAATATACTAGGTAGATGAAATACAAGAGAACTCGTTCTCTCTCTGTCTCTCCCGCGTTATTTTGCTTTTCGATGGAGGTGGGGGGGGGGGCGGGAGTTTTGCCCCCATTCCGTGACTGCACCACTTTCATATAGAAATCGTTTAAAAGACACAATGATCAGCTACTTTGTCATGTTCATTGTCGAATCATTGACCTCAACAAAGTTGTCTTTGAGGTCAAAAGACTAAAATAACTTTATTTTTAGATTTGGGAATCTACGGGAGGTTAGGAAAGAATCCTGATAAATCACGAAAATGACCTTTAGCCAAAGGTGATGCTTGAATCATCAAAAATATCACCTCAATTATTTTTTATATCGATATAATATCTATTTATATCCTCTTTATTTCCTCATCATTTCTTCAAATCCCAATTGTCGATGCAGCGTCTGTTCGTCCCTGCTGAATTATCATCATTGTCGTACCTCTGTCTGATTCAATTTACCATTGTAATCTTAGCTATGAAAATATAAGCTGGGATCAGACTAACTTAATTCGATTTTCTACCAACGCCTTCAATGAGCTAGCCTCCAATTCCAAACTGTCTGGGTGACACACACAATCAAAATATACTAGTAGTTTATAGAAGTCTTTGACTGACAGACGAGTACAATTAGAAGGTTTAAGTGTCTGTTTACACTGAACCTGGTTGAACTGGCCCTTAAGGAGTAAGAAGGTACAGTTATGATGTTTTGAGCTAAGCGTTGACATTGTATACATGTACATGTAGGTTTTTCTTTGCATTTCGATTGATTCTTGAAGAAACATTACCTATGAATATCTTGATGACCTCCCGTCACCCCCCCCCCCCCTCACTACCCATTGCTCTTTTCTTTAGCTGATTAAAACAAAATTGTTAGCTGTATTCTTTGTCAGGGGATTGCAAGTGAGTGCATTCTGTTCTTGGTATTTATTTGTATTTACCTCTCCATACCCAGGACTATCATATTGGCGTCAGTGACGTCAGATTGAAAGGCAATTATTTTCATTCTCATCACCAATCACACCATGCATCAAAGATTGGTATTTTCCCTGTGGCGAAGAAAAAAAAAAGCAGTAACCGTCCGTAATGATGAGAGACAATTGGCCCAAGATCCAATCTATTCAAAACGCTTTGATAACCTAGTTTGTTACACCATCCTTGTCATTTTTGTTCTCCTTCCAGAAAAACGGAGTCCGATGATCTCGATCTGGTCGTCCAGTTGGATGTCTTCGACGACAAGAAGGTGGCAGACGAAGAGCAGTTCTCGGGACCTCGAGGAGTCGACCTCAACAACCATATCGATGTCTTCCATGCCCTCTTCAAACAGGTCAGAGTTCAAATCATACCTCAGGCACACCTCCTCACCTCACCGGGTCTAAATCGGCAGATCCATGCCCATTCGGCATGTTCCAATTAATGCCTTGGTCTATCGCCGGTCTATTATCGGTCTGGTGTCGGTCTCGTCAGTGTGACCGGAGTACCAATAACCTCCTCGTACTTATCCAAAGCTTGATAGATACCAACCGAAATAAAAAATAATTTTTAATAGAAATTGATAAACAGGGAGCGAAATCTTTCAAGACCTATATGGAGGGGGGGGGTGTATCTTGGAAGTCCCCGTCGTCGTTTCAACTTTCATTATGACTTGTGAACGACTAGTTCTATTTATTTTACCCTGGGCCTTCAAACATGCGAGAAGAGGGGTGCACTGACCTCACAACAAGTGTGTTAAAGGTGTGTTTGTTTGATTGTTGTTTGGTGTTTTGTTTATTGCCTGTTGACTGACATGTTGGCAGATTTCGTCCGACAACCCCCTCTCCCCCTCCCTCGTTTAAATTAGTCTCATGACGCCCCTGTTTCTCTATTTGCTGGATACGCCACCGCTGTAATTTTAGCGCTTTCTCATAAACATATACATATCACATGGTTAATCAAAATTATAGCCTATGTGAAAAGATGATAGCTTGAAGGCTAATGGACTTACATCCATTTGCATTAATTTACTTGTTTCCTTACTCGTGGGCCAGACAAAAGATACAATTACTTAGTGCTATTTGATGGCTTAAAGATAGCGTTGACCGAATTAGTGGGTTTGTCATTCAAAGCTCATAGAGCATCACTAATGTCTGTCATTAAAAAACGGATATTACACCGATTGATAGCCTCATAATCACCCATTTTTCACTCAAAATCTGAAATCCCCAAATCTTTGTATTCTGCATGGGCAATTATTGATTGTCTTCAGGATCTTCTCAGCAATCCATTCATTGGATATGTTTCCTGTATAGTCCACTTTCCAGAGGTTAATTTGGGTAAAAAGGAAACATGGTTCATATGAAATTGAGGTTAAATGGTTAATATTGTCCATAACCCGCAGACCATTGTCAGGGGCGCCATTATAAGAGAGCGGGGTGGGTAAAGGTCTTTACCCCCCCCCCCACTCATAAGCACACACCCAACACTTCTCTCTGCATATCCATGATAATTATTGGTGTTAACACTTTGTAAACTTTTAATGAAGATTGCAAGATCTTTTGACACGTTACACCCTTGTCGGTAAATGATAATACTTAATGACATCTTGACCTTGTTCACAAATTTGAAACTCGGACTTTTTCGACTGCGTATTGGCAGATTTTGCTATAGTGTCGGCAAACAATCCCCCCCCCCCCCCCAACTCAAAATATTCTAGTGATATCCTTTTCTCCCATCTCCTTGACCACTGTTAATGACGTTGTACTTTAACCCACATATGATTTGTAAACCAACTGTTTTAAATAAGGGCATTGACCGATCGATCAGTGAGGATAGGAAATCGCCTGGCCTCAAGTTGATTTTTGGTCAATTGGAAACACAAGAAAAAAGCACTTCAACGATGTTCCGGATTGCTTCCCGCCAACAAGAAGTGTCAATTTATATCGTCTGTTTGTCGTCTGCGTAAAGTTGTTGATCAGTTTTGTTAATACATAGACAGGAAATGTAATGCAAAAAATACCGGCGAGAAAAGGTGAGAAGTGGTGAAAATTAGAGAGCATCCAAAGCGCCCTTCAATCCATTCTCTAACGAGCCACTTATTGTACTTTTTAACAAATACAAATCCCTTGACACCCTTTGAAAGAAGGCTGACGAAAAGCTATTTACACAAATAAAACGTAAACAAGATTTGAGAGCGCCCTCTGACAATAACGGGGTATCTGTCCACTTCAGCCCTTGATTGGAAAATGAAAAGGAAATACAAAGAGATTTAAGCTTAAAATTCTTCGACTACAATGACATGAAAAAGAACAGTTGACTCTGTTTTGTTGGAGGATGTAAAAACGGAAATAGACGATATTTTCCCGCCTGTTTCTTTGTAAACTGGTCATTCTTGAAGTGCTGCTGCTTGGATAACCCTCAAAAACTTGAAATATCCTCAAAAGATTCTTTGACATCTTTGTTTGGTTTTGTGTAAATTTCTGATGCGTTAACTGACTAGAAGTGAAAGGTTTTTATACTTGTTATTGCTTGTACCTACAGTAGTAGGTTTATCACTGACAAGTATGTGGAATGTGATAAATAAACCCGATATATTCTATACTCAAAAGCAGAAGGAATTTGTACAAATATTGATGGTCATGTCATTTACAATTTTACATCATGAAGCTACTTTATACGACACACTATAATGCTAATAAGTTAAATGTCATTTTATCATCGGTCTTATCTTGAATCATCAGGCTAATCGCTAATGACAACACCCCTATATAGGGGTGCTAAAAGTGTACGTTTAGGCATCTCCCTGGTTTAGGGTCGCACTCTTATATACCGGCGCTTCCTTGCACCTCATAATGGTTCAGTTTTGCACCCCATCTAGGCAACTTTTGGTTATCATGTCCGGGCGCAAATTTGACCCTGTGTGCAACGCATCACAGTTGGATCTTTAAATTAAAGTGCAAATTTACACCTTGCATTCAGAGATGCCGGATTTTAAATATTTTGTTAAACATTATTTTTTTGTCAGTTGGTGGTGCAAATTTGAACCTCATTTCATAACTTTCTTTCCAGATTTGACCATGTCGATACTACAGGCATGAAATAAGATTACTTCTGACTTTATACAATTAAATTTCTGAGTAATATACTCTCTTGATCAAATGAAATCCTGATTGGGTTTTCATCACTCACATGACTATGCTATCCGACTTATCTCAATCAGAATTCTTCTTAATTTGTTGAATAAACTTGATATCAAAACGTCATTGTCAGCGTCATGAGTTGATGGTTAATAGGCCCACAGATTCCCGCATGACAACAAAATGAGTAAACTGGGCTGAGGACTAATTTTGTCACCAACCCACGTATAACAGTGCAATGAGGACAGATGAAGATTTTCATTTCCGTAGATTTTCCAATCTTTGATAGAACCAGCAAGTTAATGATAACGTTCATGACCGTGATAACTATTTTGGCAACGTGATAATTGGAAGTGTCAAATAATCGCATTCCTGAGCATCATCGAAAGCCACACCATGAATCTTCTCTATTTCTTGCTCATCATCCTCGGACTCATTAACCAGACGTTTGTTGATGTTTATCGATATCTCTGAGTGGAAGGAAGTGACATAAATGTCTAGTCTAAACAGGGAGATAGAGCCTGAAACCACATGGTTATTCGAAGATGTAGTTGTTTGTGATATATTGGTATATCCGACTGGGTCGAGGCCGAAATCTACGATGACCCTAAATTTAAGCCCAAAATACCGGTTTAGTGGTATTCTTGGCCTAAATTCAAGTCTACGACACCACTATCTCGGAGCACTTTTGTATAGGGGTTTCACTGAATTCAGGAAGTGGTGTAGTATAAAGTGTTGCTACCGGTTAAAACTTATGAGGGGCAGGGCTGCATAGAGGGCGATAATTGCCCTTCGGTTACCATTTGCAGATTATATGGGCACCACTGACATTATGAGCCTGTATATCCCTCCTGTTATGGGTACATTTTTGGCTACCCCCCCCCCCCCCGGTCCCCTCTCAAAAAGTTAATTTAACCCATTCTGACGTAATTCTGCCACTCGAAAAAAATATGATAATCTTGAATTCTTGATCAATTTCCTTTAAATTTCATAAAAACTTTGTGCAGAATTTATGAATTATTCTCTTAAAGAGTAAAAAAATGTTTGTCTTCCAAAAATGATTTGATTTTCCCATCATTGATACCAGAAAGATTGATAACATAGAGACTAAAAATAAAAACTAGTGGTTTTGCTCACACATAATCCTACAGATAATCAGGTAATTTTACACTTGATCTGTCGTATGGGCATCCGCCTTAGGAGGAGACCTTGTCATGCGGATGATATGAAACATTTTAGGTTCGAAATAGCTGGAATTTACGTGACCATCTTCGAGAAACTTTTATTTCAAACTTTTTATAACGTTTCTAACTCTTGTTTCGTCGCATCGGAGAATAAGTTTTAGGTGTTGGGTAATTTTAACATGAAACATCTGCACCCATTGTGTGAGTTTGTTTCTGTTGATATTAAAGCATCAAATTTATGTTAAATTTAAATTTAGAGTAATACACTCTTATCTGATATTATGCGGTTAATGAAGAAAATGAAGTCAATGAAGTACTGTACATATTATTCAGCAAAATTGATTTTCATTTGGAAAAAGATTTCTTAGGGGTTGTGACGGTTGAATTGGTGGTAGAAGGTGTAGGAGTTTAGCAGCAGTAGCAACAGAAGTTGGATAGTAGTATACTAATACTATTATAGTGATAAAATATGCATGCTGTGAAAAAGTTCAATTCAGGGGTACGAATTCTTAAGCATTGTAGGAAAACGAAAGCAAAATATGTCTCAGGACTTGATTGATCGATGGGGCAGAAGAACGGAATATTGTATAAACTGTCATAATGTTTGACCATGCATGGTCCATGGTTTGACTCATAATACACAGTAAGATGAAGAAGCTTGCGGCGCCACCGACCACTGTATAGGTTAACCCGCAATATTTACTCCTCGTTTTTGTAGCTCGATTAAAAACCAGTGAGACCAAAGTCAAACAAAATAAACGAGATAATATCTGACGCCAAGACACAGTCAAACTATGGTCAAACAACCATTAATCTGAGGACGTGGTCAGTTTATTTGTAGCTCTAAATGGTATCTTTGTAGACATGGTAAAAAGGTGTTAACTAAAGCCGCTACTTCCGAGAAAGGGAAGTATTTATGTTCTCTCAAGTTCACGATACTTAAAAGCATTGGTTACAGTTTGTTGGTTTAGTTGTTCTGCATGCCTTTTTCGTAAGTTAGTTTTTCTTCAAGTTGGCGCGCAAAGCATTTT